AAACCAGATAGTGAGCCTAAGCCAGCAGCTAAACCAATGGCTGTTGCTACCAGTACTAGAAGTGGAAAATGCACGGACAAGACCAATTGACCAGTGGATGATGATGATGATGATGATGCAGCAGAAGGAACCTCAGTGCCTCCTGACATAAAATCAGGAGTCAAAGCAGCGGGTGCAAGATCAGATGCAAATATTGAGTCCTTTTCCCTGAAGGACCTTCGTGGCCTACGGAAGGATTACACCCGACGACCTGATGAATCCATAATTAGTTGGTTAGTCCGTCTCTGGGATGCTGCAGGCGAGGCTACAATTCTGGATGGCACTGAAGCGAGGCATTTGGGATCCCTGTCACATGATCCTGTCATTGACCAAGGAATTATGAGGGGGGCAAACCCTCAGAGCCTCTGGGCACGGGTCTTGGAAAGTGTTGCACAAAGATACCTGTGTGCAGATGATCTTTATATGCAACAAACACAGTGGAAGACCATAGAGCAAGGGATTCAACGCTTGAGAGAAATGGCAGTGGCAGAGATTATCTTCTCAGATGATGTAACAACTAGGAACCCAGACTTGGTGCCATGCACGTCTGTGATGTGGTGAAAACTTGTGCGACTTGGGCCACATGAATATGCTTCTGCCTTAGCCATAATGAAGAGGGCTGAGAGGGATGAGACCATGCTTGATATGGCGAGGAAGCTCCGAGCATATGCAGATGCTGTGCATGGCCCAACACATGCCAGAATCGCAGCGGTAGAAACACGTCTGCAGAACTTAGAGGATAAGATAGAGGAGAATCATAAGAAGCTCAGAGAGGAGATTAAAGACCTTCTCCAAATCTTGGCAGTACAGATCAGAGGTTCTGGTATCCAAGGCAGACATTTCCCAGACGGCGAGAGAAGGTACACCCCACGAACTGAGCTGTGGTTCTTCCTGCGTGATTGTGGAGAAAACATGAGGAGGTGGGATGGAAAACCTACTGCTGTTCTTGTATGACGGGTGCATGAATTGAAGGAAGCCACCAGAAAGAAAGCAGTTCCAGTAGCCCGTAGCCGAACTGCCAGGTATGATGCTGATGATGCCATGTCTGATCTCCTTGAAGGAGCATCCAAGACATATGCCCAGGGAAAGAAGGATAACCAGGCTTAGAGGGGCCCTGACTCTAGCCAGGTAGAGGCTAGGGAAAATCGTGTTTTCTGGTCTGTGTGGATTCGTTGGCCTGGCACATCGGAACCACAAGAGCATAAAGCTTTGGTTGATACTGGTGCTCAATGTACATTAATTCTATTGAGACATGTGGGGACAGAGTCTGTTTCTATTGCTGGTGTGACAGGGGGATCCCAGGATTTCACTTTGGTGGAAGCTGATATGAGCCTGACTGGGAATGAGTGGAAGAAACATCCTATTGTGACTGGCCCAGAGGCCCCATGTATTTTGGGCATAGACTACCTTCGAAGTGGGTATTTCAAAGACCCAAAAGGACTCAAGTGGGCATTTGGGATAGCTGCTGTAGAGACAGAGGGCATCCAGCAATTGAACACCTTGCCTGGGCTGTCTGAGAATCCATCTGCAGTAGGACGCCTGACGGGAGCACAGCAACGGGTGCCAATTGCCACTTCCATAGTGCATCGACGACAGTATAGAACCACTCGAGATGCTGTGATCCCCATCCATAAGATGATCCGAGAGCTGGAGAGCCAAGGGGTGGTCAGCAAGACCCACTCACCCTTCAACAGCCCCATTTGGCCTGTGCGAAAATCTGAGGGAGAATGGAGATTGACTGTGGACTACCATGCATTGAATTAAGTGACTCCACCACTGAGTGCTGCCGTGCCAGACATATTAGAGCTCCAGTACGAGCTTGAGTCCAAGGCAGCGAGGTGGTATGCCACTATAGACATTGCCAATGCATTTTTCTCCATTCCTCTGGCAGCAGAATGCAGGCCTCAGTTTGCTTTCACATGGAGGGGAGTGCAGTATACCTGGAACCAACTGCCCCAGGGGTGGAAGCACAGTCCTACCATCTGCCATGGACTGATCCAGACTGCACTAGAAAAGGGTGAGGCTCCAGAACATCTGCAATATATTGATGACATCATTGTGTGGGGGAACACAGCTGCGGAAGTGTTTGAGAAAGGAAAGAAAATCATCCAAATCCTCCTGGGAGCTGGTTTCGCCATTAAAAAGAGCAAAGTAAAGGGACCAGCTCGTGAGATTCAGTTCCTGGGAGTGAAGTGGCAAGATGGACAGCGTCAGATTCCTACAGACGTCATCAACAAGATCACAGCAATGTCTCCACCCACCAATAAGAAAGAGACACAAGCTTTCCTAGGTGCCATAGGCTTTTGGAGGATGCACATTCCTTAGTACAGTCAAATCGTGAGCCCTCTTTACCTGGTCACCCGCAAGAAGAACACTTTCCACTGGGGCCCTGAGCAGCAACAAGCTTTTGCCCAAATTAAGCAGGAGATTGCTCTGCTCATGCAGTAGCTCTTGGCCCGGTCAGGACGGGACCAGATATGAAGAACATGCTCTACTCTGCAGCCAGGAACCATGGCTTGTCCTGGAGCCTTTGGCAGAGGGTGCCTGGGGAGACTCGGGGTCGACCACTGGGATTTTGGAGTCGAAGCTACAGAGGCTCTGAAGCCAACTACACTCCCACAGAGAAGGAAATCTTGGCTGCCTATGAAGGAGTCCAAGCCGCCTCAGAGGTGATTGGTACAGAAGCGCAACTCCTCCTGGCACCCCGACTACCGGTGCTGGGGTGGATGTTCAAAGGCAAGGTTCCTTCCACTCACCATGCCACCAGTGCCACATGGAGCAAGTGGATTGCTCTTATCACTCAGCGCGCCCGTATAGGTAAACTGAATCACCCTGGGATTTTGGAGGTAATTACAAATTGGCCTGAAGGTGAGAATTTTGGTGTCACAGATGAAGAACAAGAACCAATGACACGGGCTGAAGAGGCTCCTCCATGTAACCAACTGCCACCAGAGGAAACATGCTACGCTCTTTTCACTGATGGTTCCTGTCACATCGTAGGGATGAACCAGAAGTGGAAAGCAGCCATATGGAGCCCCACAGGACAGGTCGCACAAGCTACCGAAGGAGAAGGTGGATCAAGTCAACTTGCAGAACTCAAAGCCGTTCGACTGGCCCTGGACATTGCAGAAAGAGAGAAGTGGCCAAAGCTCTACCTCTACACTGATTCATGGATGGTAGCAAATGCTCTTTGGGGATGGCTGGAGAGGTGGAAAGAGGCTTACTGGCAGCGTAGAGGAAAACCAATTTGGGCTGCTGATGAGTGGAAAGATATGGCTACCAGGGTAGGGAGGCTACCTGTGAAGGTCTGCCATGTAGATGCCCATGTCCCCAGGAATAGAGCCAATGAGGAGCACCAAAACAATGAGCAGGTAGACCAGGCAGGAAAGATAGGGGTGTCAAAGATAGACCTAGATGGGGAACACAAGGGAGAGTTATTCCTAGCTCGATGGGCCCATGATGCCTCAGGCCATCAGGGCAGAGATGCCACCTATAAGTGGTTAAGAGACCGAGGGGTGGATTTAACCATGGACAGTATTTCACAGGTTATCCATGACTGTGAGACATGTGCTGCCATCAAGCAGGCCAAGCGAGTGAAGCCCCTGTGGTACGGTGGGTGGTGGTCCAAGTACAAGTATGGGGAGGCCTGGCAGATTCACTACATCACACTGCCCCAGACACTCCAGGGCAAGTGCTACGTGCTGACCATGGTGGAAGCCACCACTGGATGGTTGGAAACCTTCCCTCTTTTAATGCTGCTGCCCAGAACACCATCCTGGGCCTTGAAAAGCAGGTCCTTTGGAGGCATGGTACCCCTGAGAGGATTGAGTCAGACAATGGGACTCATTTCTAGAACAGCCTTATCAACACCTGGGCTAGGGAACATGGCATTGAGTGGGTGTACCATATCCCCTACCATGGACCAGCTGCAGGAAAAGTAGAGAGGTACAATGGACTACTAAAAACACAGTTGAAAGCTTTGAGTGGGGGATCTTTCAAAAATTGGGAGCAGCATTTAGCAAAGGCCACCTGGTTAGTTAACACCCGAGGTTCCACCAACCGAGCAGGTCCTGCCCAGTCTGAGTCCCTGAATATAATAGATGGAGATAAAGTCCCAGTGGTACATGTCAGACGTTTGTTAGGGAAGACCGTGTGGATCAATTCTGCCTCGAGTACAGACAAACTCATTTGTGGGGTTGTCATTGCTCAGGGACCAGGTTGCAGATGGTGGATAATGCAAAGAGATGGAACAACACAATGTGTACCTCAGGGAGATCTGATTGTGGGGTGAGAATGATATGCAAATATCACTGTTCATTGGATGTTACTGCCATTGTCTGTACATTAAACTATACAGACATGAGACAGAAGGAAATGTGTAAGTGTTGAAGGTCTGGGCAAGTGGAAGATGGAGAAGGAAATGTGCAGGTGTCCAAGGCCTGAGCAAGTGATAGATGGAGCTTTGATTTAGTAAAGTGAAAGGGGGGAATCCTGCAGCTCTCTAGTACAGGGCCTGGATTCAGTGGTCCAGTGTGGGGATGTGATGAGGTCATGATGCATATTGCTTTAAATTTTGGGGGAACAGATGGAAATTTTGTGTGAATAAATGCATGATGTGTGGTAGTATGTTGATAATATGGGGATAAGGGGTGGAATGTCCTAGGGTGACGTTATGATGCTTGTATCCCCATTCATGTGTTCTGTTTATGCTGGATAATATGTTCTGTACCTTTAAGACTGGCTCTGAAGAGTGAAAGTTTTGTTTTGGTTTTCTTATCAGCCTGGTGGGACACAGAGACAGGGCCACAGCTTGTGCTGCTTTTGCTTTTTCCTTTTTCTTTTCACTTTGCTCTCTCGCTCTTGCTTCTGCTTCACTTCTGCTTGCTCTTGCTTCTGCTCATTAGCTAGTTTAGCTAAACAGTCCAAATTTCTTCCTGGACTGTTTCTCCTTTTCTTTTTAGAAAGAACTTGAACCTGCTCTGGACTGGGACCTGGGAACACCGAGAGTTTGCACCTTGTGGCCTGCAGCAGCTGCCCCAGCACCGGAGGGACTGATAACAGAGCGACCACTCCCAAGAGAGACTTTCTGAATTTGTCATCTTTTTTCAGAGTGGTGTCATCTGTTATTGTTCATTTTGTGTGCTGGGGGGTGCTGTGCCTATTAAATAAACAGGTTCTTTCCACTTCTCTCCGAGGAATTCTTCCCAAACCGGTTGGGGGGAGGGGCCGTGTGGGTTTGCTTACTGGCGGGGCCCCCCCCTTTGGAGATTCTCTACCAAATTTGCCCTAAACCAGGACATACTGAAGCAAGGCATTTAGGATCCCTGTCACATGATCCAGTTATCGACCAAAGAATGATGAGTGGGGCTAACCCTCACAGTCTCTGGGCATGGGTCCTGGGATGTATGGCACAAATATATCTGTGTGAAGATGATCTCTATATGCAGCAAACCCAATAGAAGACCATAGAACAAAATATTCAGTGCTTGAGAAAAATGGCAGTGGCAGAGGTTGTCTTCTCAGATAACATAAACGCTAGGAATCCAGATTTGGTACCATGTACATCCATGATGTAGCGAAGACTTATATGACTTAAGCCACAAAAATATGCTTTTTTTAGCAATAATAAACAAGATGACAAGACAGAGACCGTGCTTGATATGGCCAAGAAGCTCTGAGCTTATGCAGATACCGTGCATGGCCCAACACATACAAAAATCACAATTCTGTAAACATGTCTACAGAAATTAGAAAGCAAGATAAAAGAAACTCACGAAAAACTCAGAGAAGAGATTAAAGAAGACCTCCAAATCTCAGCAATACAAATCAGAAGTTCTGGTACCAAACACAGATGTCCCCCAAATAGGGAGAAAATGTCCACCCCTCAAACTAAGCTATGGTTCTTCCTACATAATTATACAGAAAACATGAAGAGATGCGATAAAAAATATACTACTGCTCTAGCACAAGTGCTTGAATTAAAAGACAACAAGACTCAGATAAGTTCCACCAAAAAAGAGGCAGCTCCAATAGTCCATAGCCAAACTGCCAAGTATGATGATGTTGACTCCCTCTTTTTGTTTAAATAAAAAGGGAGAGGCACCTAAGTATAAAAACATCAAAACTCAGCTTGGGCTGATCTCAAGCATCGGCAAACCAAGGCTGTTTTATGAACCCTGCAGAGGTTCCTGTTTCCTCCTCGGGAGCGGTGGGAACAGTCACCTGATTGATCTCTAAATGAGAAGTAGCTTTCGATATTAATTTGGCCACGATGCTCTTGATAATCCCAAAACTGATAAAAATAACAAAAAGAACAAGCAAAACTAAAAATACAGACTTTAGTATGGATCTGACCCAGCCCGAGAGTCCCCATCCTTGGAAAAGTCCGTCCATCCAGTCTGCTGTTTCTTGACTGATGTCCTGGACCATCTGTTGCATCTTTCCAATGATTTTGTGGACGTCTTCCGCTTTGGATGGCAGATTCAGGCAACAGAGATCCTCAAACTCCTCACACTGATGATTATGTAGTAGGAGAAGAAAATCAATTACAGCGTGATTTTGTAGGGTGGCTTCCCTTGTTGTTTCGTCGTCTGCCAGGAGGTCAGAAAGTGCAAATGATGTAATATTGGCCTGTTTATCAACCCAACACTCTAGCTGTGACAATTCACCTAGAGCCTTGGCTGCAGACACCCATGGCAAAAACGCAGTGATTGCAACCCCTTTTGGTTTGGACCAATGTACAATTTCAGAATCGCAATTTGGGTCTAAATTCCTTAAGTCTCTCTTTTTGCGGGCCAAATTGTGGGCACTGGTTTTTGTTCGCCAATCCATGATTTGGGTCTTGTTGGGTGTAAACAGGCTCAGCTTTCCAATGGTGCATGGACCTCTGATTAGATGAGAGGGGATGCCTGCCCACGCTCTATCGCCACAAATGAGGAAAAACCCTTTAGAGAGGGCATGGGGCTTATTATCGGGGGTGGACGACATCTCCACATGGGAAATTTTCTTACACCAATTTTTTGCTGTGTAGTTTTCTTTAAACTGTTGGACTTCCTGATACAAATTTATCTGGTCTTTCGGTTTAAACATAAACTGAACACAATAGAACGCCTTTGAAGAACCAAGGAGCTCAAATTCTTGGGGTTCCTTTTCTGTTACTGTCTGTCTGTAAACTAATTTTGACCAAGGGGATAACAGATTATATACTGGAAAAATGGGGGTTGCTAATGTTGCCGGAAATTCACTAGATTTAGATGGGATCCCCACAAGGCAAGTAGACATTGGGTCAGACACAGAGGAGGCAGACAGGCAAATGTGATCTTGTTGAGAACTCTGGCAAGAGTGGTCCATACGTTTGCGTGAGGCTGAGAAATGATTCATATCTGACTTGGATGGATGGCTGACAACAGGAGCAGCAGAAGGATGGGGCTCATTCTGATGGTATGGGGTCTGAGTTCAGATCAAGGGGAAACACTGAAAAAACTGAAGATAAAAAATGTTAGGAATAAGGTTCAGGTAATAGCAACTTAACTTTAAAGAGTCTGACGACGCTTCCTCCTCCAGCAGACATCAGCTACTTGTGCCGTGGGTTTATCTTTTGACACTTTTGGAATGTATGGTCTTACCTACTTGGAGGGGATCCATCTCAAGCTTGAGGGAGCAGATACGCACGCATATCCCCTACCCCAGGCCACTAGCTCATAGGGCCCCTCCATTTTCCAAGTCTCAGGGTCTTTTATGAGGAAGGGTAGCCAGACTTTCAGATTGTGCTGACTGTTCTCTTTGAAGTGCCTCATGATGGGTGGGTTAAGGTTTTCATACGTGCAATTTAAAAAATTCAGCATGAACAATGCTTTGGACAGCTGGACTTGAGGGGACTCCACCTTAATAGCCTCTTGTTGTTGGTGAAGGACCTTTTTTAGGCTCTGGTGGGCCCTCTCCATCATGGCTTGGCCTGTCGGGGAATAGGGGATGCCTGTCTTATGTTCTATTCCCCATTGCTGCAGGAAGCTCCGAAACTCTTTGGACTTGTATGCTGGGCCATTGTCTGCTTTGATGACCTTAGGGATTCCCAATGTGGAGAAGGCTTGCATGAGATGTTTTTTTACATCAGAGACCTTCTCTCCTGTGTGGGCGGAAGCATAGATTGCACCAGAGAAAGTATCCATTGAGACATGGACATCTTTAAATTTGCCAAATGACAAGATGTGAGTTACATCTGTCTGCCACACCTCGCAGCTCTGCAAAGCCCTAGGGTTTGCCCCTGTACTTAGAGAGGGTAGTGAATGGTGTTGACAAGAAGGGCATGTGGCTATGATGACCTGAGCTTGTTCGCGTGTCAGGTGGAATTGCCAAACCAAGCCGGGTCCATTTTGATGGAAAAGCTGGTGACTGATCTTTGCTTGTTGGAATACATCTGGGAGCGGGACCATCTCAGCTGGTGCTGCAAGGGCATCAGCCCTACGATTACCTTCTGCAATGAACCCTGGCAGGTCTGTGTGTGACCTGACATGCATCACATAGAAGGGTTGTTCCTGGTGGGAAATTATTTTTACTAATTTTGAAAGCAATTCATATAAAGGAATGTTGGAAACTTCTTGCAATACCACATTCTCTGCCCTGGACACTACACCTGCTATGTAAGCTGAATCAGTAACTAAATTAAAAGGCTTGGAGAAGCTCTCAAAGGCTCTGACGACAGTGACCAACTCAGCAATTTGGGGTGATCCTTCCACCTTGGCAATATCTGCCTCCCACTGCTGAGTTAGAGGATCTTTCCAAGTCACTGCTCTGAATACTTGTCAATGATAAAGAAAACTGAACGTCCAAATTAAAAATTTTGTGGGCCAGTCGCTGGATCGAAATTTGGCCCGTGTAGCTGTCTAGCGCAAATTGCAGGGCTTCATTCTCTCATTCTCTTGAAGCAATTGTTCTAACATTGCTTGAAATAGTTGGCCTGATTTAAATTTAAGGAGATGTGGATGCAGTCAAAGTCATACCCTACCAATTCCCTGATCCAAATCCTTGCTTTCCGGATCAGTTCTGCCATCAGCTCCTGTAGCCTTGTCATCCTTTTGGACCTGTTGTGACTGAGGAAGACACATTCTATGATTAAGAGTGGGTCCTTCTTGTCCTGGTCATCTTTCCCTGCCTGGGCAGTTTCCCACTGGAAGATCACCCCATGGAGGTGTGGCAACTTACCCAAGATGATGAACTTGAAGGGCAGGCCCTGCTGGCACCTGTGGGCCTGCCTGGCAGACATTGTCTCCTGAACTTTCTCCAGTGCAGTTCTTGCTTCCTGGGTGAGGGTCCTAGGAGAATTAAGGTCATCTCCCCCTTTCAACAAATTGAAAAGGGGGGCTAGATCCTCAGTGGAAATGCCTAGCCAAGGTCTTGCCCAGTTTAAAGACCCACACAGTTGATGGAGATCTGCTAAGGTTTTGATGTTGTTTTTGATAGCTAATTTTTGCGGCACAATGGTCCGCTTTCTTATTTCGTGACCCAGGTACTTCCAAGGTGGCATCTTTTGAATCTTTTCTTCCTGGAGCTCGAACCCTGCAGCAACCAATGCATTGATTGTCAGGTCAAGTGTGTGAGTAAGCATGTCATCGGTTGGGGCACACACCAGGATGTCATCCATGTAGTGCAGGATGATGGAATCTCCTGCAGCTTCACGGACTGGGGACAGCAAGGAAGAGACATACCTCTGGCAAATCACAGGACTCACTTTGAGACCTTGTGGGAGTACTTTCCAGTGGTATCTCTTCATTGGGGCTTCTCGGTTAATGGTGGGAACCGAAAAGGCAAAATGCAGGGCATCGTCAGGATGCAGGGGAATTTGAAAAAAACAGTCTTTGATGTTAATCACAGCTAAAAAACAATTATGTGGAAGCATGGTCGGTGAGGGCATCCCTGGTTGTAGAGAGCCCATGTCCTCAATAACGTTGTTGATTTGACGGAGGTCATGGAGGAGCTGCCACTTGTCTTTGTTGGGTTTTTTTATGAAAAAGACAGGAGAGTTCCACGGTGACGTGGTCTCCATGATGTGACCTTTTTTTAACTGCTCCTCTACGAGCTCTTCAAGTGCCTTTAATTTTCCTTTATTGAGTGGCCACTGTTCTACCCACACTGGAGTATCAGTTTTCCAAACCAGCTTTTGGATAGAGTGCTCTTCAGTGGCCGCCGCC